GAGCGGAGTATACTGACTGATTAAAAAATAGTAGAGCAAGGAAAAGAGAGATCATATACTTATGTAAAGAAATGTCTTTATCAATGGCTGGCTCTAGAAAGGAGACACAGTTAAACAGTGAAATACTGAGCAAGGGATACTTCCAGTGGAAATAGTTATATTTAGTTAGTTGATCTGTAATAAAGAGTAGAAAAGTCTCTATTTATTTACTAAGCCGTCAAACTAAAGATGTTCATATATTTTGTTGAGATTCTACATTTCTAAGCCTCTTTTCCAGGACTCCCTTGAAAAAGAGGTTTTTAATCTCAACAAGACTTTGCTGTTAAATAAAAAGCAAACACCCAAAGAAGCAGAATAGATAAAGGCAAAGCATGTGTCCAAAGAAGGTTTTTCTCAGAAGACAGAAGTTAAGTGTTTTTAAATTGATCTCTTCCTGGAAAATCAGCTACTTATAATAAACTAAAGCAGATCCTGATCACTGTAAGCGCAGACGAATGCACAAGTGTAAATAAAAACTCATAATTCTGCTTTTTATTACTTCTGATTGTCAACACTGGATGAGTCGCTACTTTCGTGTTGACACAATTTTCCAAGTTATGATGCCAGCTGGGAAAACTTGAAGCATGCAAACACATTTTCCTTTTTAATTACCACTGCGGAGACTGAATGTAGCTGCATCCTCCGTCAGCAGCTTGTATTTATAATAAATAACATATGCACAAAGAAAAATGTGTGTTTTTCTGCACAATTTTCGAAAATGATCTCCAAATAATTGAAACCAGTTATTGTGTGTTTTTAGATCAGCTGCTGCTAATTTATTTGAGCAGTTCAGTGTTTCTGCATAGAGGAACGGGAAACTTCAAAAGGAAGCAGTGGTGACTGATGGAAAGGGAGTAAGAGGACGTATGGATCGGATAAAACAAAGGTGGAAACGGGGTCCAGGAAGAGACAAATGGGTGGGAGGGGTCAAACCAAAGCAGACAGAGAAATTAGGTTTAAGTTAGTAGAGAGTGTCTTGAGTCATTTTCCATATCAGCGACCTAGAGAGAGTAGGAAAACAGTTTTCTGGATCAACATGCCAAAAGAAAACAGACGGGGTGGGTATGGAGTCCAGTGACAGGAAAAAGAGGGAATGAAGGGAAGGAAGTAGAAGAGGTAACAATATGGGAAATATAAAACAGTTCTTGTTTTCCCCACAGTTTTTTCCAGTCCACCTATTTTTGTTCACATTTTGTAGAATATGTATCATGCAAGGAGCGTGGACCGTCTTTGACTGGGTTCCTGAGGATGGGGGGGGTCTGGTGAAAGCAGCTATGGTCTGCTTTTTATTTTGACTGCTTACAAGTCTGCTGATGTACAATGGGCAAGCAGGGGGCAAAAAAAGAAGAAAAAATATCCTGTCTGAGTGATAGGGAGAAAATAAATGTCTTGATGGATCATTTTCTTTTCCTCTTTGATTTATTATGACTACAGAGAGGGAAAATATCAAGAACAAGAGACGCCGGGTTGTGGGGTGGGGGGTGGTTCAACGTTTAAAATGTGTGTGTTTCAGTGCACTAGTAGCAGCTGTATAAATAGATACACACACTGCATTTGTCTGCTAATACAGCGCTGCTGCTTCATCCCAGCTCTGATTTATTCGATGCCCTCTCACGTGTGTGGCTTTGTGCACATGCTTGCACTATGAGCGTGTTTGTTGGATAGAAACACTGGCAGACAGCTGAAGGCCCTTGTGGTTGTGGTTGTCAGGGCGTCACGATGTAGCTGAGGTGAGGGTACTGTACGCTCGTATGTGAGTGACTCCACTGTGGACTGTTGTGGTTGTGGTAATTGGCTCTGATGCGATGCAGCGTTTATGGGTGACGACCTAGCCACCCCCACCCTCTGCCTCTCTCCATCCAGTGGCTAATTATCTGATTCCCTGTGGATTTGTTTGCTTCTTACCCGGCTACTGTTCTCTTCTTCCCTCTCACTGAGAGCATTCAGATCAGTGAAGGAACAAACTAGCCCATCTAACTTCATTGGCTTTGAATAAACATGTCATCCTTCCATGAATACCATCCAACCTTTCCTCAATTTTTCAGGACTTTCTTAATTTCCTGTGTAGTTGTTCTGTTCAGCGCCCAATGTTCTTTAGCAGTGAAATGCTTTTCTATCTCTTTGTTTCTTCTTATTGAATGTAACTCCATGTAACTTTCTCTCCCTACTCACATAATTAAGCATTTATGTTAAATGTCTTATGGCGAAATAAAGGTTTAAAGTAAATAAACACTCTAAATATCTATATCATCAGTTGGTGTATGTGGGTCAAGCATGGGCATTGCAACTTTGCAACACCGCATGTGCTGCATACAGGGTCCACTTCTATAAAATGTACGCAAGTGCTACTTGAATTACATTAAGTTGAACAGAGTTTTACATCCAAGTATGAAGCACCTAAGATGCCAGTCAGCTCCTCTAAGTCTGAGGACACAGTTGTCAACCAGAAAGATGGCAGTTGCCTCTTCCAGGTCAGGAGTCAGTTTCTGCCTCAAATGAAAACAATGGATATCTGGATAAGACAGTAGAAAGATAAAGGTAGATGAATCTGTGCGTTTTCTGCAGTAATGTACATCCAACTTCCATTTGTTGGCGTTACGAAAGACCTCAGCCACAAAAAAAGAATAAATAAAGAAAAAGCTCTTGATTAACCAGTCAGACTGACCCAGTGGTGATGGTGACAGCTCCAGAATGATAAAAGTACATAAAATCAGAGTCTGATTGTTGTTAATGCTCAGAAAGATGACTATAAGACCAAAACTCAGGAAACCAAAAGGACAGCTAATATCCTCATGATGTCTCCCAACCTATTTTAAAACCACTAATTTAAGCTAACATGTCCCCAGATTAAAAAAAATGATTTAATTAGGACTGAAACAATCATATGGATTTAATTAGATTAAACTAAATTAAAAGTGTAAAAAACAAATAAACATTTTGCATGTAAGATAAAAATAATTTTAGTCTGTTAATATGCTCTATCCACAATTACTCAAGTGGAAAAGCTTTAGTTTCACCTAGTCTAATTTCTTTAAAGAAACTTCTTTAAAGAAACTTTGCTTTCCAATTATTAATCGATTAATCGAAAAATAATTGACAGATTAATCAATTTGCAATTTAATCATTAATTGCATCCCTACATTTATTGTGATGCAGGTGAATCAGCAGCATTAATAGCTTCAGCATTTAAGGGAGAAAAGTATGAAAGAAATGGAAGGTTTGCTGTTTGTAGCGGTATGTGCCTCCTCACGTATCCTGATATTAGCCTCCTTCTTTTCCAACTGGCTACTTGCTTGTAAAATTACACAACAGTCCAGCAGAATATAAAAACTTTTGTCTCTGCTCTTGAGTTAAGGCAATTCTACTTCGTTTCGACTTTGAATCAAAATAACATGGTTGGAATACGAGCAATTTCTTATGAATCAAATATATTTAATCTCAAAGAGAAACCGTGAACAATTTATTCTAGTGATCTTTTCACTTTGCAGCAGATGTCTTTTAACTGTTTTGTCTGTGGTGAGTATTGATAGGACGTTAGGTATCCCTACATCTGAAAGCTACAGTTTTACACTCTTCAGTTTGGATAGACATCAGTATATATCTTCAGATAAGCTGCATTAGAACTTTTTGAGAAGGTGGTTTCGGTGCCCAGTTTTAGAAGTAGAGAGGTTAAACTGGAATGTTTGACAACTTAAAGGAGCAGAGAAACTGGCAACCGTTGGAGGTTAGAAATTTGCGCAGATGTTTAGTAAATAAAAAGTATGTGTCAGCGGATGCTATACTACATTTTATTAATGGAACGGGAACATGAGTAAAACAAAAAGAGGTGCCACATGTTAACAATGTGCCCAACTTCCTGTTTAAAAGTCTACAAGGAGATTAATATATGACTGCAAGTGCGCTCAAAGGGTAAACAGTCATTTATTCATTAACGCAACTTTAGTGCTGCAATCCAGGAGCTAAAATCTGAGTGATGGATCCAGAGGTGTGAATGTTTAAACAATTAATAGTATGACCAATCAGATAGCAAAACAAATATGCTTTCATGTACAACTACTTGAAAAAAAATTCACAAAATCAACTATTAATATGCAGCAAGCAGTGACTAGCTGGTTGGCTTTCACAGGTCTCAGGATGTTCTGAATATACAAAAAGAACACTCTCAGTTAGACTGAATAGTAACCCCCTGCTTTGTAAGCTTAGTTCTGTGAGCTTTCAATTAATATTTCTGCTGTAACCATGAAACACTGCAGATACTTTAAGAATTACAGCTAGAATGCCCACAAAGTGGCCTTCCTCATTCAGCTGTCAGGGTTTGTCATTTGATGCTTATGCTAAAAAGATCCACCAAAATAACGGCGAGCTTCTCAGGTGGAAACATGTCAACTGTGACAGATTCTTCCTTTGAGTGTTAGATAAAGCAGAAAGACGCCCAGTTTGGATCAGATGGGGAAAGAAACTATAATTTTGATGCCGTTCTAAATAAAAAAAAATAAATAAATACAAATCTGAGATAAGCCAGCTGTTATCACAGGCACTATTTAAATGAATTGAACTGAGTTGTATTAAACTAATTTCTGTTGATGAAGCTGTACTTTATTTAATGGTATCAGAACCAAATGGGGGTGAAATGCACACCTCAGTTTTTAGCTATTTTGTAAATAATAATAATAATAACAAAAATATACTTTCTTTTTTGCATTTCTTTACTACTTCATGCTGGTCAGTCTCCTCACACTAACAATGGACTATGTAATCTATGATTGTGACATACCTGTATGCAACTGTATCTCATTTGTACTTTCATCTTTCTATCCTTTGAACCTTTGATTTTGCTTAACAGAGATATTTTGGAACTTCTCTTCATCTTTATCACAGGTTTATTGTTTTCACGTCATTAGACCTGAAAAAACAAATGTGATCCATGATCATCTATCTAACTCTCTATCTCTGACTCTCAGGTGCTTCCTTTATGGGCTCCTTTCTGGCCAGGAGTCTGGGGACCCCACCCTCCCATCCCCCTCACCCCTCTGGACCTGCTGCCTCCCCTTCCTCCCCATCCTACAGGGCTGGAACCCATTCAAGCACTTCCCCTATCTGGTTCCCTCATTCACATGAAGGTGAGAGACACATACGGTACACACAGAGGAAGCAGCTTGGTTCTCTGTCTAATCCGGGGTCTCGGTTTGGGATTAGACCCAGATGAAGCCATTAAGTGGTTTAACCAAAACAGAGCAAAGCAAACACGTGCAGCAGCAATGCCTCAGATGATGCTACTTTTAGAAACACACACGTACGACTTTGCTTGTGTGTCTGTGGTCGTTTTCTAGTTAAGAGCTCAAGCACAACAAACGCCCCCCTCGCTTACCTCTTCTCCCTCCTTCTACCATAAATAAGCATCCAAATCTACTCACTCAAACGGTTCAGTGTTTGTGTGAGAAGATTTTGATGCTTGTTACTGCTTATTGGATGCTTAGTAATCACTTGAGCAGGGTTTGAGTATTGCTGATTAATAATAATTTTTACAACCCCCCTCACCCAGCTCTATTTTGGTAGCCCTGAGTTCCTCCCTTTACACCCAGGTAGGCTTCGAAACTCACCCCCGTTTTCACCACTCACCCTTGTCCTCACCTCCCTCCCCCATCTGACCGCAGTCCCACCCTCGGGGCCCCCTCTGGGCTAACCGACCTCCAACGGCCCCCTTCCTGATCTGACACAAACATATGCAGTAAAACAGCATGCGGATCCTCATGCATCATGTCCTCTTTCGGCTGTTAACCGTTTGTGGTAAAATTCTGAGCTTGACGGAGTTATCTGTCCCTTTCAGGTATATCTGTGCAAGTTTGTGTAGGCTCATGAGCGTGTGTGTACGAGCGAGATGGGACCGAAGTGATAGCATCTAAAAAAAGTTGAACAAAAGAGACAGTTTACACCACAGGCTATATTTCTCAACCCACTGTAAACTGACTCAAATTTGACTCAGTTTAATCGTTTTGTGAGTGATGCAAGTCAAAAGTGTCTCTGAAATCCTCTGCAAATTAAAACATTGACTTCCTTCACAGAGACTTTTCTTTTTATGCTAGCCATCCCACTGGTTCACTTCGACGTATCACATCATAGTAGGAAAGAGTTGGAGCAATCAATAACAAAACTAATGAGTGCATTCCATTCAGGTGAATCAGTTTCAGCCTCCTGGTGCCATGCGTGCCGACACGCTGGAATGAAACCGACCGTGTGGTAATGTTATTTATTACACCTGTGCTTTGCCTGCCATGACAAGTCAAAATGTGTTTTCCTGCCCAGTAGCATCATGGATGGTGCTGGTTGAGGCAACCGTTGGCACATTTGGTATTTTAAGTGGCCATAAACTATTTGGGATTACGTTTAAACCAGGAGTATACAGAAAGCATTAGAGGGATTTGTTAAACTACTGTTTACTTCCCTTCTTTTAAGTTTTTTAAATTCTTGCCTTCTGTTATTGACACATAACCAGCCTACAGAAATATGCATAATTTTCAGTGACAAAGACATAAAAATGAGATATAGCCTGGAGTGACCATCCTTACCTGAATTCATGATACGATTCATATTAAAGACTTCCAGCTGTAGGCTACAGGGAGCAGCAGTGAACAGAGAGCACTGGTGTTTGTTTTTGTGTGTGTGTGTGAGGAGGGAGAGGGTATGTGTGCCTATAAGACAGATTTTACGTCTCTGTGGCGCAGCTTTGATGTTTTAACACACACACACACTTTCATGCACTTTTGCACGCACACCACAAATGATTGTTTTTAAGAATTCAAGCCAGGGAGCTCCAGCAGGCAGCCTGCCAGCTGGCCACAGTCCAGGGAGCGGAGCATAGCCAGCATACAGCGAAGGAACCTGCCCAAAACACACACACATACGTAGACAACACTCCAGTCTGCCCAGCACACACACCTATAGTCATTCACTGGTTCTTCTACAGCTGCCCTTGTTTCATGTCTCAGCACTCATGTGCGTTTCCTCATCTCTTTACCAGCCTTTCTTGTGTCGTCTCATCTCCACCGTCTCCACTCTCCTTTCACTCGTCCCTTCATCTTCTAATATCTCCCCTACAAGCAGACCCCCCCCCACCCCAGCCACTCATTTCTGTCTCTCGCTAGCATCACATCCGAAACACACTCATGACTTTTCATATTGACAGCCTCTCTCCTCTCTGGTGTCTTCCCCCCCCAACCGTCTCCCAATTCAACCAACCAGTAAACTCCCTCCCTTTTTTTTTAAATCTTCCTTTTATTTTCTCTCCACTTTCAGCTCCAGTGGCACTCCATGTCATCCCTATTCCCTCTCTTCCAGTCCCATCTCTCTCCCTCCCCTGTTTTATCACTCATCATTACCTAGGGGATTGGCCTTAGATGGCTGATAGAACCTTTTGGCTAATTGTCACCATTTAGATTCACTGGTTGTTAACCAGTCAGAGTAATCACACACATACACTCACACAAAGCACTGTGGGGGTGTTGCTGGATTTGCTGTGCGACTGTGGAATGCGTAGGATGAGTTTTTTATGGAGTGTTGTTTACTTTGGCCACCACCGTTAAACTTTTAACTGCTGCCAATTAACAGGCCAGCAAGGACACTCTGTGGGACATGAAACCAACCTCTGGAAAAAACAGACTCACCCACTTGCACAACCATACAGTCTGACATCCTATTCCGAAGGTGCACATTCTGCCAAAATCTCCCCATTCCCACCAAGCAGGTCAATGCTCCTAAAGACATGAAACAGAGTGTAACGACCATTCACCTCTCAGTGACCCCCTTGGAGGACTCAGTGGGTGTATTTCAGGGTGAGGAGTGGGAGAGATTCTTCGTCATGTTTGTCTTTGGTTTTGAGAGGAATTGTATTTTTTAGAGGAGCAAATTCTATCCGTTGAAAATGTGCAAAAACACTTGGCATTAGTAAATGGCTGTGGCTTCCGTCACCCTTCTGCCCACTGTAAATAATGTCAACGCATCTAGCATGTTTGTGCTAGTTTGCATTTATGAAGAAAGAAGAAATAGCTGGATCTGTTTTTTCAAAAATGAGGGTCTTTGATGATAGATTACACAGACAAACCATTTGTACAAAGTGCTGCTGAATATGTACAGAGTAATCAGTTCTCTTTAACCCCTTTCTACTGACAGGGTACCCTGGCTATTCAGGAAGTCTTGCTTCTCCTTTTCTTTCCATGAGTGCCCTGGATCACCATAGCGGCAGTATCTATGGACAACCCCGCTACTATGAAACACAAAAAGGTATGTTCCCAATAATTTTTTTTATAAACCACTCTTTTTTGCATAATGCCACCTAACCTAAACCCAGTGAAGAGTATATTTGCATTCCATAGCCTCTTTGAATAGAAATCTCTATCACAAACCTATAAAGATGAACCGTTTTCTTAGCATCCTGGTCCCACATGCTGATTTTAAAAATCACATTGGATTAGTAGAACCAAAGCGGGTTAAGCAGGTTTAATAGAGAGTATTTGTAAGAAATACTTCCTAAGGATTAAGCTCATGAATCAAAGGTAACATGTTTTCCATTTTGTGCCAACATTCTGTGTCATCCATTCTAGGTGAACTATGCTTTTCTAAAGTACAGTGACCTGCCCTATATTGTGTGTTAGTTGGAGAAATTTTTGTTTGTCAATAATGCACTCCCACAGACGGCCACTCTGGGCCTCTGAGCAAGACCCTTAACCCCACACTGCTCCCCGGGCGCCCCACAGTGGCAGCCCACTGCTCCCTAAGGGGAAGGGTTAAATGCAGAGGAAATTTATCCTGTGTGAGATCAACAAAGTTCAATTATCATTACTATTAGTACATCACACATAGATAGTCTTTGAGAGTTTTTGGTTTAAATCATCTGGGCAGCTGGCTGCAGAGACTGTCTGCATTGTCAGACACACTCCTGTGCAACAATGCATGTTTACCTTTGGAAAAAACAAGTGATATTATGTTAGCTATCTTGCTTGACTAGCCACCTGTGGTAAAATTTGATCACCTTGGTGATCAAAAAAACAACACAGATACAATAAAAAAGGCATGTAAGTCTTGGGTGTTTTGTGAAACAGGATATAAACTCATTAATACCGTAACGTTTCGAGAAATTATAATTTGGGCCCACCCATCTTCTTCTTTCAGATCCCTTCTACCTGAGAGGCCTTACCCCACAGTCTCCTCTGATCTCCACCAATCACAGCCTTCCTCCACTGTCCCGGACAGCACTAGGCCACCCACTTGGAGCTTGTAGCCGCGAGATGGACAATGGGGGAGGAGTTGTAAAGAGCATGAAAGATGTAGGTGAAAAGGGAGTTTTGTCAAAAGAGAGAGAACGCTCAAGCAGCAAAGAGCGACACCAGGATAGCAAAGAAAAGCAGCAGCTTCACAACCACCAGCATTCTCATCAGATGAACTCTGCCACCACTCCATCTAGCCTTCACCAGGCTTACACCCACCCACACCATGGCCTTCTTCCACATCTTGGAATCCAGAGCCTGGAGCAAGACCACAGAAACTCTCTAGAGCGACATAATGAGTATAAAGACAGTGATTTGGGTAGTCAGGGAGCAAAACCTATGAGTGCCTGTAAACTGTCCAATGGGATTGGATCAGAGGGAGCCTTTGAAGCAAAAGGTGGAACACTTAGCAGCTGTAGTGGTGGAGCGGCGAACAAAGCTTCATCTGGAAACAGCAGGCAAGGCTCAAAAGATGGAACAATAAATGGAGAAATGAGGATCATTGAATCCCCAACTTCTTCATCTGAATGTATGCGTCGAGAAACTGTTACAGTTACAGCATTCTTGGCCCCTCTGACCCCTCACTCCGTAGCCTCCTACTCCATGCCTCCACCTCCTGCACCACCACCACCACCTCATAGCTTGCACTTAGGCTCCACAATAACTGGAGGCTGGTTACACCCTTCGAATCCCCACCCACTTCCTGAGTTTTACTGTCCACCTGCCCCACCTCTAACACTTACACCTTCAAAAGATCCAATATCCAGCCCTGGAGGAACCAACAAGGAAGCAAAGGTCAATGGCCCAACTTATGTGCACTCAGTTGGATCACAAGGGGACATGTCCGCCCCTTACTGCCATGGAGCAGGAGGAAGGATGGGAAAAGAAGATAACAATCTAGAGGGATCCCATGAAATTCCCTCTCACCATACTAGCCGCGTTAGCAGCTGCCAGAAGAAGGACAAAACCCAGCCCCACCAACAGCAGATGGGATACGGCAAAGCTGATAGGCCTCCTGACTGGAGCCAGCAGATACATCATTTTAACAAACCTGGCTCCAATGGGAGCTCTAAACCTGAACTGCATTCCTGCAGTGTAGAATCAAATTCTTCTTTTAAAGATGCTGAAGTTGCAAATGAGATTTGCCATCCTCTCCCACAAGATAGTCATCGAACAACAAAGATCGGTCCTGATCACGGTACTGCCTCCCTTAGGGACATTTCTCTCTCAAGTGCAGATGGAAAGGGGAGATCAGGGCTTGGAACGCAAAGGGAAGGACAAAAGGTTGCAAGGATTCGACACCAGCAACACAACAGTCAGACCACAGGCGGAGAGGAAAGGGTGAGAGATGGTAATCAGGCAGCATCTTCATGTGGAGCTAGAGGGAGTCAGCAAGAGGACCAAAGAAAAGGTAGCCATTCAGCATCAGTTAGTAAACAGCCTCCGCCACTACCCAGCTCCACATCACACACAGCAGAGGGTGCGGGTGGTGCTATGAAGAACCTAATGAACTACAGCTCCCAGCAACCTTTGTTATTGCCACAGCGAAGCCCATTCGGAGGTCTAGGTTGCCTTAACAAGAGTGGGGAGAGATCAGAGAGGGCCAGCAGAGGAGGAGCTAAAAGCACCCCCCTGCAAGACCCCTCCAAACAATCTCTCCCTACGCGGCGGGGCTGCAATAATGAAGGGGAAAAGACTGACAGAGCTGCAAAGGAAACCGGAGAAGCAGGAGAGGGGGAGGTCCGCCAGCCCCCGGTGGGTATTGCTGTTGCTGTAGCCAGGCCCCCCCATCGTTCTCCAGACATCACTCCTGGAAACAGCAGACAGGGCCGGGTGCTGCCCAGCCTGAAAGGTCAGACATTAGAGATATTTTATACATTTTTTGGTCTGTTTTGGTAAACGCTGGTATGCTTCTTCTGACTACTGTGGTTATTTTTCTTAAAAATCTCATTTTGAGGAAACACAACAACCAATAAAGATTTTTTTGTAGCTTCTGCGTTTATTTACAAAGCAAAAGTAAAAAGTAAAGCAGAATATTTTTCACTGCAGTTTGATATCCTGTATGCAAATAGCACAGGTTCTGGAGAAGACTAAGCATGTTGGTCTTGTTGTCGTGGTAATCCAGGGGTTTCACGTCCTGTTTATCCTCTTGGTCGGGAGTCTGAGGAGAGGAAGAGGATGACAGAGGACCAGATTGGTCTTCATCACATGGACAGAGAGAGAGAACTGGTTATCAGGTAGAGTCCCTAAAACGAGCGTGCACACATACACGGAGGCGCTACCATCTATTCAGTTTTCATCTTCTCTGATCAGCTGCACTTCTTTTATTTTCCTTCCTTCTTTCTCCCAGTCCAAAGCCATGCTTCTCTTTTCTCTCAGCCCTTTACTCCATTTACTCCTCTCACCCTTTGAAGTTTTTTTCTGTCCCTCCTTACTCTCTCACTTCACATCTTTCTCTTTCTCCTGAAGATGAGATGTAGTGCATTAATGTTACATGGACTAATACGGATGTCTCTGAAGTATCAGGCTCTTATTATGTAGTCATATTAAGGGAGGAAAACATATAATGAGTAGTCATAGACCAGGCACAAGATGATGGCTTCTCCCGTTGCCGTCACATTTCCTTTTCTTCATGATTATAATGGTAGTAGAGGTAATGAAGATGACACGGATGAAGATAATGATCATAATAATGGTGATGATGGTGATGACAATAAGAGGGATAATCAACATAATGACAAAGTTCACCTCGCCTAACGCCACTGCAGGGAAAACAAGGACTGCGTGGAGTTCGCTCGGATCCACCCTTCCAGTAGCTGCCACGGTGATCTGACCCCTCACCTGTTTGGAGCCAATCAATTAGGGGATGCAGTGGCACATGTTCACCCAGCTCATCACCACTGGATGCAGAGGACAGGAAGTCCCTCCCTCTGGATAGGGCCTTCATACAGTGAGTAAACTAAACACTCAGCCTTTCAGCCTTAGAAGGTTATTAAGCGATATTTTTTTTGTTGGCTTATTGCTAAATTTCATATCAAAAATTTTATTTTTAATCAAACCATTGTGATGGAAATGTCTGTGACTTGCTAAGGATTGCATACTTGTTAATATTTTTCAGTGTCTCATAACAGCAGTAAACTTAAATCTATTTTATTTATATATTATGAGAAATACCAAAATGAAAATTATAATTATGTAGGGGGTAATTATTCATTATTCAGGTTTTCTGTTGTTTTTTTTTCTCTTAGAAAATCTAAAAAGCGAGGCATGCATTCATTTTTAGCATCTAATATCATCTAATGCAAGAAACCTTCTAGTTAACACAGACATACCAAGTCTCCTAGAAGTTCCGGGAGTCTCCCTGATATAGATAGATGTTCATGGATGCCTGCGAGTCGGATAAATTATCCCGGATTTTAGACTATGTGAGATGGTGTATTTTCAATGCGAGAGCAAGCAGGCAGTCTATAATTCGTGCATCATGTCCAGATTAGAACTACTTCGATTGCTCAGACAACAAGGTCTGAGCAATCGCCACGGGTGTGGGGAGGAGGTTGCTGGTGAAACCTGTGCAGCGTATCTGTCCGAAGCGAAGCTCTGTTCAACCAGCGATCCAGGTGACTGGTTGATCAGAGAGCTGATTGGATCAGTCCGATTAGTTTCTCTGGTTACTCTCTGACAGTCACCTAGTTACCACTCAAAGCTGTGCATCCTTTGAAACGGCAGAGGTTCAATCCTTGAGTAAAAACAAAAATACAGGACTAATTTTATAGCAGAATATACTAAAGTATATCTACGTCTATTGAAGGTGAGGAACAGGGGCGGATCTAGACCAAATGTACCAGGGGGCCAGGAGGGGGCCAGAATGTTTTCATAGGGACCCAGATAAAGCATGAAATAAAAAACTTCTATTTCTTATGAGGTCAGTATACATTTAAAACTTAGGAATTGTACATCTTTGTTTTTAACTTATGTTTAAACTACTGTTTACTATAAATTTGAATTAGATCTCAAGAAACACTGTTAAATTCATTTCTAAAAATTAGAGCATTTCTTTATTTTTTGTGAAGAAAAAAAAAACATTTGACAGATGAAAACTGGGATCCTATCTCAGTACCACTGAAACTATCACCTCATTGTTTTTGAATAATTAGTAAAACAGAATTTGTAATGAAACAATGAAATAGATCCAAAGGACCTATCAGTAATAACATCTTTTCCAGCCCAGATCATCATTAGAATTTCTTTTATGTATCATGTCTTCAGTACAGGGGCCATAACAGGGGCCAGGTCATGATCTATAGGGGCACTGGCCCCCATTGGCCCCTGTCTAGAACCGGCCATGGTGAGGAAATATGACACCGGGGCGAGGTGCACTGTATGCTGAAGTTCCATTAAAAACAGAAAGCACAACCAATATTCAAGGCTACAAGATTGAAAGTATTGAAAATAAAAGACCAATACTGTTCTGTTTAGTGTTTAAGAAATTACTGTTAGTTAATAAACAGTTGTTGAAAAGCTGCTGGCCTTAAGTGTTTATGTAAGGGGCACGGTGCGGATCCGTGGGGGTTGGGGGATAAGCATCTCCCTGAAATGAGTTTTTGGAATGTCTGAGTGTTTGGGATGTCTGAGTTAGCAAGAAATATTTTAGTTTGCAGTGTTTGCATGTTAAGCTCAATATGTTCCAGTTTTGCATCAGGAAGACCAAGAATCACAACAGGCAGGTCAGGAAGGGGGAAATCAAAGCTGGGTTAAGTTATAGAACAATATTCTTAACTTATCATATTTTACAGAGCAGGTCTACCTCCAATGCAGATTACCCTTGTGGTGACAGCATATTGTGGCAAAAAAAAGAAAAGATGGACAAATAAAAAAACAATACCAACGTTTTACATTTATTTGTAATTATTTTGAAATATTAAGTATGTGCAAGTTTTTTTGTTGTCCAGAACAAACAAATAATATGAACAAAAAGCATCAATGTTTTTTGTAGTAACACAACTAAAGCCTTTTGTGATGAATAGAATAAATAAAACCCTCATCTTCTCCCACTGATTCTGTCAGGTTGCTGTTGGGCCAGTGCCTTTCTCCGGTATTCTATGGACAATAGGCAGGGTACACCCAGGACAGGTCACCAGTTTGTCACAGGGCAACATAGAGACACACAAAGACACACAACCATGCACACACACACTTATACCTAAGGACAATTTACAGATGCCAATCAGCCTCGCAGTCATGTTTTTGGATTGTGGGAGGAAGCCAGAGTACCCAGAGAGAATCCACACATCACAGGGAGAACCCAGAACAGTGCTATAATAATACAAAAGTTTAGTAAATGTACATTTTTTGCTGTAATTTCACTGTGAATTAAACCCTGATTCCAGGTCTGAGCCACGTCGGGATGAGCCCTGGCTTTCCACCAGCTCTTGCCAACCCTTTGCAGCCTGTCTTGGGTTCACTCAGCCAAGACCCTAACTCCCCCATCATGGTTCTTCCTACAGAACCAGGACCGCATCATCCTCTGGGTATGATAACTATGCTTTCACAGCAACAACAGAACATATAGATTGTTGCGTACAGGACTTACTGCCTAGCTACCGCCTGCTTCCCCCTCATTTTAACCTTTGATGCTTCTCCCCAAGAGTTTTAGTATAACTGCCTAATCATAATATAATGGTCAACTAAGCCCCTCTGTCAGTGGGACCATGTTTTATTGCTTTGTTAATGGGAGCAGCCATTCCATTGCCCCTCTGCATGTGCCTAGCCTTATGCAAACAATTTGAACCGGCATTTCATCTCTCTTCTGGTGGAGTGCAGATGTGTTTAGGTTTGGTGTGTGTGTGTGTGTGTGTGTTTTTTTTTTGCAGAGGGGGAGGGGGGCATGTATGTGTGAGTGTTATTAGTTATGTTAATGTCTAAAACAACATATGTTACAGGTTTTGTTGTATATCTCAGCCATTGCTGGAGAGAGACAAGAATGTGTGTGTGTGTGTGTAAATGGTGTGTGTGTGCGCGTGTGTGTGTGTGTGCACGGTGCTTTGCAAACAGGCTGTGAAATTTAATTATCTCCCGCCTCCCTTGACTCGCTCCGTGAGAGTTCCTGCAGAGAGGGGAAGTGCATCCACTGAACCCTTCCCCTGGGAAACATTAGCCCACTCAGGCTAATCTCACAGAACAAAGGTTCCCACCGACAAGGCAGTCGAGGAGGGGATGGATAGTGATGTGTGTGTTTGTGGCTTACTGTCCAACTAAATAGTCAGGTTTCCTGCAAAAAGTATAACATCTGTAAAGAGAGCTGGGGTTGAAATAAGGGAGATCAAACTAATATGAATGTAAAAATCTTTTTTTTTAAGTCTGTCTTATAAGGTAGTACTTAATTGCAATTATTAGGCCCATACAACTTTATCCAATGAAGTAAGAGAAAGACAATTTTATGAGCCCCAAATTTAAAACTTAATGATTTAAGCATGCAGCTCACATTTCTTTGTGTTATTTAACTGTTTTCTTTAGACTTTCAGATTTGTAAAATATTATTAAAACCTCAATTCTATTTTGAATACACAGAAAGCTGTAGTACTGCTGCAGAACTTGAGAGATTTTAATGCTTACCTGCACTAAATTATTACGGTCTGGATTTTTGGAAAGGCCTCTATTTTGAAAAGAAAAAACAATAAAATAAAAATAGCTATGGAGATTGCTGTTTTCTGCCACAAAATCTTCTCTCTTCTCAATGCATTGTGTAATAGCTGTAATACCTAGTAAGCTGCCTACCATTCCAACCTTAGCAGGCAATAGTTGGACTACTATTCAACCATCAGATATGTAATGGAATCCGGGATTCCCTTAAACACATTTATTGCAAGATATTTCCTGCCTTTATATTATAAATTTTACTGTCTAAGTTTGTAAAGAAAGTGCTTTTGTTTTTTCCTCTAGATGTTCTGGAGCAGCCAGGTCTGTGGCCCTCGGTGTACGGCGCTAGGGGCCCTCCCCCTCATCTGCAGCCCCACCCAGTGTACTCCCGCACCTCCTTCCTACAGCAGCAAGAAATGTACGCTCTGCAGCATCAGCACCACCAGCAACAGCAGCGAGCAATGGAACACACACAACGACCTCCGCTGGGACAAGTAAGATTGGTACTCAAATAATAAGAGTAGAAGAAAAATGAAGGACTCAGGAGTCGAACACAGCAAATTACTTGCAGTTGCTGACTAGAGCTGTATGATTTTAGAAAAACATGCAATGTGATGTTATTACTGATCACTATGATAATGACAGAAGTTGCGTTTAACCCACATTTTTCATCATCATGATATTCCTTCAATTCAAGTTTGAAAGTTTTCTAAAGTATTTCCGTTTTGCAGAAGTCCACTATGGACACTTAAAGAACACTTGACTGGCTAAATTCCTTATTGGCATATGATCTATATGATATGATATGTAAATTCACTGCACTAGAAATGTTGTAGACTACTAAATATTGCATTTGGTATTGAGGCATTTCACATGATTGAATTAGCATCATGAATGTTATTTCATTACTGTTGATTTGTTTTCATCAAATAAATCATTATTTATTTATTTTTACTTTATAAACATATTAGCTTCTTGGTTTTACCAGGTCTGTTGTAAACATTAATCACTGAGATAAAAAAAAACTGTTTGTCTAGAATAACTTGAATTTGCATGTACGCTTCAAAGCTCTGTGAATTATTTCTTGCTCTAACAATCTTTCTCTCTTTGTTTCATTTTCTGAAGAGAAAACTTGAGGAACGTGCAATCACGATAGATGACTCTCCCAATGGATCTCCAACTTCCAGAGCACCAACCTCTTCATCCTCTCCATCTTCTGCCTCCTCCCATGCAGCAAAACCTTTTTCTCACACCCTTCCTCCACCCAAGACCTCCACTCCATCTCCTGGACTGTGTCCAAGCAGCCGCCAGTCGCCCTGCTACCACTCACCATCAAGGCGTTTGGCACACCCACAGAATCCCCTGACTCCCACTCCAAGCCCAGCAGCGGCAGCGCCACGATCGCCAGCCCTCAGCCCTGCCCCCTCACACCCCTCCAAAGGGCTGGATAGGTTGGGTGACAGGGGTGAAGGGCAGCCACCTCAGGACTACCCCCAGTCATTAGAGCCAGGTGTGTTTGCAGAAGACTGCATGAGCTGGTCACTCTCTAGACATAGCTGAGATTGGTTTTCTTTTTGCTTTACAAAAATTGTCTGAAGCAGGGCGGGTCCCTTCACTTCATGTGCCCTTGAGTATATTAATAGAGCGCTAAAGTGAGCTGGTAGGCAGGCCAGCCATTGAGGTCAGATAAAGCATATGGATGCTCTTTGTGTGCATGAATGCAACCTGCCAGGGCGTGCATGTGTGTGACAAGAGAAAGGTCAGCAAAATCTTCAGACAAAGTCTTCTCATCCTTCAGGGGCCCTTGGAAAAGTACAGGTGGAAGGATACGCATTCTTCTAGCTGTGTTGTCAGGAGGTGGAGGGATATCATCAATAAAATGAAAGCAGTGGTGACAGGGCAGCAATCATAGGAAGAGAGTGTGTGTCATCAATATACAACATAGACCTCTACACACACCCATGCATTCTGTATATTTAATATACAGCAATACACTTGCTGTTAATGTATTATGTCAACTGTAATCACATAACTTATCCGGTCTACCGACATGGAATGCCAATTTCAATCACCTTAAGGCAAACAAACCATTTCAGCTATTTGCTTTTTTTCATGGATCAAAATATTTCAGAATCAGAATCAGCTTTATTACCAAGTAGGTTTGCACATACTAGGAATTTGACTTGGTATTAAAAATGTAGATAAATTAGATATATATACAGACTACAGGATCTATAGTTATATACAATATAAAACAAACAATATTATATGCGATATATAGTATGTAGCCATAAACTATATACAATCTGCGTTAATGTAACACAGGAGGTCTGGAGATGCTATGTTGGTGTAGCTTTTAGGTCCTGAATGGTGGAGGGAGAGGGGCAGTGTCACGGGGGTATCTGGGCCTTGATAATAAGGCTGGTACCGGATGGGAAGAAACTGTTCTTGTGAGGTTTTGGTCCTGCTGGACCGCAGCCTCCTGCCTGAGGGAAGGGACTGAAAGAGTTTGTGGTTGGGGTGCAAGGGATCAGCCACAATCAGCCCCTTTATGCCTCAGAGTCCTGGAGGCAAACAGATCCTGGAGAGATGAAGATTGCAGCCAATCACCTTCTCTGGAGATCA